CCTGTTTTATATTTACAGAATGTAGGGTTTTAGATATCGATGATGTGTCATATTGCTACTCGTCGGTTGGCTGGATGGCATAAGAAACCAGAATTCATTGTTCTCATGCGCAGTATTACCATTTCAGTTGATGTTGAGAGGAGTGTACAAATCCCTTTTGACATTTTGGCGGTCAAATTTATGCTTGCTACTGTTCTAAAGGAATGCAAGAAGAGATGCCACAATTGTATGATGCAATACGCTTAGAAAATGTGTGGTGGTACTTAAATGAAAAAAGTTTTGATTTTGTTTGTAGTTCAAAAAATTAAAAATATTACAAATGATTTTTTTGCTTACAATTGCATTTTTATTTGCGTCTACAGTTAAGTGGCGTTGACCGGGTGTGTATAAATGCATGAGTCATTTTTAGCCAGCCCTACAGCTGTCTTATCTTGTTTTCATTTATGAAATATAATTAAACAAAAGATTAGTTTACTTTTGAAAGATTAAGCAAAATAGAGATGGATGTTATGTTTAAAATGTTTTTAATATAATTTAATATTTTTTGTCAGCTAATGTAATTGGCCAGATTGATGAGATATTTACTTATATACACAACACCAGTCTATGTTTAAATCTTCATGGCCCCCTTTCAATAACTTCCCCTTTAAATATCCATCTGCTTTGTTTTTAATGATGATATATTTTCTTTGTCTGCTATCCATTCGTTGGTACGTTAATAAATTTCTCAATGTAACTGTTCTGCAACTTTATACAAATCTTGTAATCGGTGACTGTGTAAAAATAAAGTTTGGATTTACAGGAATTCTTTGTTCCGTTGTTTTAAACATACAACCAATGCTATCAGTATTTAGAACATACCTTTTGATGATAACAAAAGTAAATTCAATTTTAAAATGAAATTAAATGTAAAGCAAAACTATGACAAATTCTAATCTAATCAAAATTCTCTACATAATAACCAAAGTTAAAAGAAAGAAATCTTCCAACTGTTGTTGTAAAAATGCATTGCTAAGATAATGAAATGAAATGCATACTTCTATTGACTATAATATAACAGAATATTTATTTGAGAATGTGTTACTTTAATAATAGAACAATCTATGAAGATTGCTTTTATTTTTATTAAATGCTTTAAATACAAGAAAGACTTAATTTAAAAGTATTCATCGGTGTTATTTGCCTTTTTATATAGTATAGTGGAAGTGATGCAAATGTGGTATAGGTTGGTAATGTGGTATAGTCACTTTTTTTGTAAACTGAAAATTTTAGAATAACTGAAACATGTTCTATAGTTTGCTGTTCTCAAAAAAATAAGATAGCAATGACCTGTTTAATTTATTTAAATCACGGTGAGAATCAGTACCAAAAATTAAATTTTTCATGAAATTGACTTTTTTCGGTTGAAGTTTAAAAATAATTTTTTGTTTTACGGATGTACTTTAATCGTTATTACTAAAGCATTAAAATAATCAGTATGAACTAAAAATCAAATAATATGCGCGATTGCACCACATAATCACCAATTTGGAAAAAAACTAGACATTTCTTCAGTAAACACAAGTGTAGGTAATGTGGTATACCTTGATTCTGCATGAAAAAAGGCCGCATTCATTAAAAACAATAAATTATATAAGATATCAATTGGAAGTGAAAATTATACTATACCACATTAACATCATGTGGTATACCACATTACCTGCACTTTTTTTAAATCACTTTTTATGGGATTTAAAATATTTTCTCAAATATCTCTTAAATTGTTAGAATAATATTATTTTCAAATTGATACATGGAAAGACAACACATGTAGCATGTTAAGTGTAAATTTTCAATTTAATCGGATAAAAAATAAAAATTTGGCAATATAAAAACAAATGGGTATACCACATTTGCATCACCTCCTATACATTTATCCCGACTTTTTATGCAATTTTGTACGATTTTTACGAAAATTATTTTTCCAGTCCTTAAATTCTTCCGAAGGACTCCGATTTAGTAAAAGTGTAATTTTAAAGAAAAAAATTGTCCTCCTAGCCAAATTTCATTTTATTTCTGTTTATATGAAGCAGAAATAATGTCTTAAAAGGCCCAAACGTCGGCCTTTGGTTTAGGATAAAAATTTGATTTTAAAGAATATTTATTTGCAATAAAAATCTATGATAAATTCATATTAAAGTTCTATGAGTGTACTTTCAGAATATGTGGACCATATAGGCAACACGAGTTTGAGAGATGGGAATTTTTCCGATTTTCTGAAAAATTTTAGGGTGACTTTAAGAAAATTTCCGATAAAATGGGCCACTGTAAAAAAATTAAGAAGGTTTCGTGGTTGAGGGGGGGCTCAAACGAAACTCTTAGACCTTTGAGCCCACCTCATCTCCGAAACTCTTTTTGCCTATATGGTCCACATATTCTAAATGTACACTCTTAGACCTTTCGTTTGAGATCCCCCTCAACCCCGAACCCTTCTTAATTTTTTTACAGTGGCCCATTTTATCGGAAATTTTCCTAAAGTCAGAAAATCTGAAAAATTCCCATCTCCGAAACTCCACATATTCCGAAGAATACTCTTAGACCCCCTCTCAACCCCGAACCCTTAATTTTTTTACAATGGGGTATTTTATATGAAATTTGCATAAGGCCAGCCGCAATTTATTTCTGCAAATTGGTGGCGCATTGTCAAATACGCTCACATACTGCGCACAATTCTGTTCTGCAAATTGTGGCACATTCTCAGTTACGCTCACATACTCCCTCTCTCTCTCGATTTAGTTCTGCAATTTCGCATTCTCTCACTCTCTCTGTCTTAACCCTATGTGAACCACCGAAAAAGTTTGGTGGTTTGTGCCTTTGCTAGTTAAATTTTAAATTTATCTTCACGGACATCAAAAAACCTAGGAGTACTAGCAATGTCTGTACAAAATTTCAGACTTCTATCTTAAATGTTGCGATCGATGATTTCAACAGACGGACAAACAGACGAACACGCATTAATCGACATAGAATTTTATTCCAGAGTATTCCGGTGAATAATTCGAGGTGTTGCAAACGGTTGAGGGCATACAAATGGAGTTATCCAATTTGTTGTTGTTATACACATGTAATATTCCATTGAGGTACGTGAGACAAATAATGAGGTACGTTTTAAGAAAAATATATTTACCCATATATACCAAAATATACTAACTATAAATAAGTCGAAAAGCATTTCCTCAAACATGTATTTTTAAGCTAGTAAGAGCTAACATTGCTTTTATATATTTTCAAAAATGTTTATTCAATAATTTGTTGGCTGTTTTTTGTGTCCTCTGTAAAAAAATTATGTAAGTCCATATTTTTCAATTTTCCATTCTATTTTGTCCTTGTCAGTATCCCGGGTTGTCCATTTTATATATTTTAGCGAAATTTTCAAACAAGAATTTCGGGGTTTCAGTTTAATAAAATATCATTTAGTGGGAAATTTTAATATATGTTTTAACATAACTATCTTTAAAAGATATCTGTCAATTTTCGTTATGCTCAAGACCCTAATGCCAATTTGCCAATTTTCGGTATGCTCAACCTAAGCGTATATAGTGCAATTTTTAATTTTCTCAGACGATAGTAGTAGACAATTTAAAATATATATCGAAATACGAATCCCGACCCAATGAAAGTTAACCTCATGAGAGTATTTTCATTTTACATTCCTCAAAAAATTGTTAAAATTACTTTCAAAAATGTACACCGTTTTTTATAAAATTCAATATACCCTTTGTGGCCATAATTAAAAAGTTTACTGAGACTTTGTATTTGTGAAGTTGTTTTACTTGCTAAGAGCAGCATATTTTTTGTGCGATATAACTCTAGTGGTTTAAGAATTATCAGCTTCACGAGCACAAATTTTTTTGCTTTGTTTTTCGTTTCGAAATTAAGTAGAGAAAATATCAAATTTCAAAACTTGTATCATCATTATTTGAATAATACAATTATTGGTTATTTCAATAAAAATTTTAACTTAAAATTGTGAGCTATTTACACAATTTAATAAAAACATGATGATGCATATTTTATTACCTTGATTATGTGTCCATTTTGCCATTATATTTGGATACATATATTTTTAATATTTTAATCTAAATCCAACGACAAATTCTCTGTCAGAAACGGTAAGATTTCTGGAAAAACAAAATATTATGTACGAACGAATTAATGCTTTCTCTTTAATCATAAATTCGCCGCATTGTAAGCCGAGATGAAATTGTGTCTTTATCTAAATTCTAATACGGGTTGATACGATTTATTGATTGACAAGTTGTAGCGCTGCTTCTGTAAGAAATTATAGATTCATTGTCATAGTTGTCGTCATTATCCTTTGTGTCTTGTTGTCCTTTGATATTAATATTCAAGGTTTTGGTGACTTTCTTTGTTTTTTCTTATTTTTTTATAAATCAACTTTCTTCTATTATAACTGATACTTAAATGGGTAGTGAATTTTTTTTTACTTTTTACTACTGCTTCGAAATTCTAACCTCTTTCCTGTTAAAACAAGTGCCAACATACTTTTCAGTAAATTCTTTCACTCAAAAAATTGTCTACAAATTCTCTTCCTATGTAAAACAATTTCGAAATAAATGAAAATTTATCCAGCAACAGGGAAAGATCAAAAAGAGCTATCTTCCACATCTATGTGAGTGTGTAGTGGACGACGACGATAGATATTTTGCTTGTGTATCGATCATATTGCATTTATACTGCCGAAGAATATAATTATTATCATTTATGGTGACGTCTTATCTGTTTTATTGTTGTTTGTAATTAATTTTCATTTATTGACAATGTTTTATCAACGCGACCATTATAAGCGAGAAGATGCATGTGTGGGGACCAGCCATTTCATTGATTCAGTGTAATATCTTTCGATGGACACAATTTGTTTAACAAATTTCATAATCAAGTCTGTTCTTAGAGGAAAATGAGGCAAATATTTAAATATATCTTTCTTTTAAATATTTCAGACTACTGTATGTGAGTACGCTAGATGGACGTCTCTCAGCTTTGGACATCACAAAAGGTGGCAAACTGCGCTGGAGCATACCCACAGGGCCAGGCCCATTGATATCGTCGAGCATACATCGCTTAGAATTAACAAACAATGGACAATTCGTACGCATGATACCATCGCTGAGTGGTGGCATCTACAAATTTGATGGACAATCAATTGACCCGATACCCATTACCACCGACAACTTGCTAAGTTCTTCGGCCAAGTTTTCTGATGATTTGGTAATTTCTGGAGGAAAAGAAACCCGAACATATGGTGTCTCAGCACGTACAGGTCAAATGATTTACGAATGTTCAATGGATGGTTGTGCCAACTCCACCGGTCCCGATCCGAATATTATGGCACCCCTAGAAGATGAAGATAATGAGAATGACGATGGAGCATATCGTACACCCAACTTTATGGATGACCATGATCCCTTGGTGGATGATGTCATCGTAATTCGACGTTTAACACAAACTGTACGTGCGATTGAGACTCGCACGGGTATTGAACGTTGGAATTTTAGTGTGGGCCAACATGAATTGGATTTGGTGCGTTCGGAAGATTGTCATGATCGTAAATTTAGTGACATTGACATGGCCATGTTGGACTTGGATATCAAGGTTATTGTACCCGAGGGTCTTATATGTGCATTTAGTAAATTGGATCCATCGGTAATGCTTTGGAAGTATAAGGTATGTATAATAATTTGTGATCATCTCTGGAGGAGGGTATAAATCGTGCAAACTAATTGTGTTATTCTTATTTTAGTTTAATCATCCCATTGTTAGTGCTTGGAAAATTAGCGCATCTGATAAATTGGAGTCAATTGATATGTTTGGCTCTGCCCAGTGGCTGTGGAATCGTGATGATAATGTCTATGAAATGCCGCCACCCACAATAAGTCCATCCATATATGTGGGGATGTATGACAAACAATTGTACATACAGGTAAATATTGATTAGGTGAGAGGGTGTGAAATAAATTAAGGTAAATTCGAATGATCAAATGAAATACTTTCAGAAGTTTTTGTTTAATATTTAATCTTATATTTGTTATATATTTTTGAGTTGGGACAAACAAATCTAATACAAATAAATCGAATTTAGCCGGGCTCAGTAAAGCTTATTAACGGATATTAATAGTTTAGAACGATTCTAACAATTCTCATCTGTTTTCATGAAACAGTATTTAAATAAACAAATATGATTTCTATTTTAATTTGGCTATTCCCAGTATTTTAATAATAGTTTATAAGCTAAATATATTTTTAAACAATTATTTTATTTAACTTCATATTAACGATGTTTTCTAATAATCAATTGTAGGAATCTGTTAGCTTGCGCAAGGAAATACTTGATCAATCCAATCTATATACCCAGATAATGGCAGATTCTCAAATGCCGAAAATTCCGTGGAGACCAATATCAGCCAGTAGCAACTCCTTGGTCATATATCAAGAAAATGGCGACAAGGTAATTGTTCCCGGTGCTGGTGATACCCAAGACGTGGCTAGCTCCGAGATTCGTGGCAACGAATTGGTACCCTATGATGATGAGATGTTCGCCTTGTCGGCACAATCTGTTTTGAATGCTTCGGAATATGTTAATGGCAATGGTTTCTATCTGTACACAGATAAAGAGTTGGAAAAAAGCAAAGACGATGTTGTCTGCAATTCGAATAGTAGTAAACAAAAAGGTGGTTTGCCAGCTATAAAAGATGCCGAGGATAAGGACACCACATCTTCCAATAATACGAATGATGATGATTTAGGCTTCAATTTAGATGATATTGATGCTCCCGTGAGAGTTGTTATTCTCTCACTGTGGTATTGGTGGAAAGAAATTGTGGTCATTGCCTTCACCTCGGCAATATTGATGAATCTTTTCATAGGACAAAGAAACCGTGAACGCCAAATAGTAGTCATTGAACGTCATATACCAGTGCCTACGGGCATTGAAGCAACGGAATCATCTACGGCTGCACTTTTGGGACCTACCACAAGCACTCCGCAAACCACAACCACTAACACCAATACCAATTCTAAGAGCACTAATGGTGCCCATCGTTCCTTATCCGAATCCACTTCACATTCTGGCGAACATTTTACATCTCGTTTCCAAAGCGATTTTGATTTGATGCAGTGTTTAGGCCGTGGCGGGTTTGGTGTTGTTTTCGAAGCCAAGAACAAATTGGATGACTGCAGATATGCCATAAAACGCATAACACTGCCCAATAAGGAGGAGTCTCGGGTTCGTGTTATGCGAGAAGTGAAAACTCTGGCCAATTGTGAACATCAAAATATCGTTCGTTACTTCCAGGTATGTACGCAATGGATTTTGTATTTTTCATTTAATATTAATTTAATTGTTTCAATTTCCACTAGTCATGGGTAGAAAAACCACCACCAGGTTGGCAAGAGGAAGAAGACAGCAAATGGTTGGCCAACGAGATGTCAACATCTATCCAAATCGAAACACCAACCGATACACATTCCGTTTTCAAACCTACTCCCATCGATAAGAAACAACAACTGAAATCATGGATGGATTCTATGACCTCCACCGCTTGCAGTTCTGATCATGGATGTGACAACAACCATTTGAATGGCCTAGATGAAGAAGACGAGGATGAGGATTCTTGTATTATTTTCCGCTCGGAGTCACAATCGTTGGCCATGAGGGAAGAGGACAGTGAAAGCGAAAGCGATGATGAAAGTTCAACGACAACGAAGAAAAAATCTCACAATGGCGCCATATCTATTGATATCCACACAAATTCCACTGATATAAGTTTAGACCGAAGGAACAAACGTAACATTGACTATTCCCAATTGTCGGATTCATTTCAAATTGAATTTATTGATTCGACAAATGGTGATGATAAAACTCAGGATAATGATGATGCAGATGACGATGATAATGTGTACAAGGCTCGCAATCGTAAGAAACCCCGACCCAAAGACTTGGCCTTGAATATAAGTACGGGAGAGAGTAATAATAATTGTCGCGAACTTTTACAGGCTACGCACACAGCAAAGCCTGTACAAAATAAAGTATATTTATACATCCAAATGCAGCTGTGTCGCAAAGAGTCATTGAGAGATTGGCTCCGAGACAATGTCACCGAGAATCGCTCGGAATACATAGCCAGTATTTTCCATCAGATTGTTGATGCAGTCGACTATGTTCACTACAAAGGCCTCATTCATCGTGATCTCAAGCCCAGTAATATATTTTTCTCTCAGGAGGGCCAAATTAAAATCGGCGATTTTGGTCTTGTAACCGATATGGCTGATATACCAAATATGGTAACCAAATGTGGCGATAAAACCGGAATGCCTTCTTGTGCCCGCCACACGCAGCAGGTTGGCACCCATCTGTATATGTCTCCCGAACAGCTGCGAGGACTTCCATATGACTTCAAGGTCGATATATACTCATTAGGTTTGATATTTTTCGAACTACTTGTATATTTCGGCACCGAAATGGAGCGTATAATGACACTGAGATCGCTGCGTGATGGCATATATCCCAAGGATTTTCCACACAAACATCCCAATGAGTATGAGCTGTTGAAGAAAATGCTTTCAGCTGATCCATCGGAAAGACCAGCAACCCCCGTGTTGAAGGCGAAATTGAACGAAATATTGAAACTACCCGAAATGCCTGGAGATAGTGAAGCAGCTGCCATAGTGGCAGCCGCACGGCGTTTAAGTCGTTCACGTACTTTTAGTAGTTCGGAATAAGTTAAAAATATATATAGTTTTTCTGTTTTCACAAACATACCAATCATTGTAGAGAGTTAGTAAGGATTTAATTACTGAGTTCGAATCGAATTGCAGGATCCATAATTTTTTTCCAATTTTAAAACACTTAGGCTTTTTTGGATTTCAAGCGGTATTAAAGACACATACAAAATTTTTGTAATAAAACATTTATGGAACAATTTATTATTACAATGTATTTGTAATAATTTTTGTATAAAATTTGAATATGATTCCCATGGAAATATTGGAATACAGATTCTACTATTTTTCTAATTTCTATTATCGCCCAAAATATTTCTAGGTGTACTTACAATTATTCTTCATTTCGATTTCAACTAAAAAATAATTCATATTTCACCGTAACTTACTTCCTTATCATTTGATCCTTTTCCACTCTCTCTCTCTCATAATTTTATTGTTATAACATTTTGAGGTTCTTCGCAGTTGAATTGCTTTTTATTTCGTTATTTGTTCTGCATTTGCCTCAGTGGAATCCCTGTCATGATGGCATTGCGACTAGAAGCTTTCTTAATTTATTTAAACATTAATTATCCTTGTTCTCAGTCATTTGTTTTTGTATATCAAAATAACTTGTTTGGCATTAACAATTTCATAATAATTACAAACATTTTAAAATATTATTATTATTTCTAAGTAATAGGATCTACTCTTAAGATTGCTTACTGGCATACCACACTCTGCTGTATGCTGCGTAGTATTTGTATTTCTTTCTCTCTTTATCCACTCCTCGAAACCATGAATGTCAATCGAGGAATGGACTGATGTGGAGAATATTTCCTTTGAAGCCATTGCCATCGTTTTGATTGTCAAAGACACTTCTATCATAAGTTAGATTTTAACGCAGGAATGTGATGTGACCATCGGATGGTTTTTGTTATATCTAATCCGATTGCAAAATGTTCTGAACGAAGAAGACTAAGATTAATATTTTTTATTATATAATTAAGATTAGTTTAAATAATATATATAGATTTATAAGCTTAGATAGAGTGTGTCAAATAATTTATAGACTATTAACAAAACTCGATTTATTGTGAATACAACTAAAAGAGAAAACAACAAATTTATTGTAAATACAAGCAATAAAATATTTAAAAAAAATATTATTTTTTTATTGACTGAAATATTGAATGGTGTTCTGTTTTTATTTTCAAGAATTACTTTGAAGACTTAGAAGTGATCATGAAGCACAAAAGTATGGCGATACAATTACATTGTTTAGTGCTGTCAAAATCGTCATCAGTATGTCTATTTTTTCTAATCTGAATTAAATCTCAGATTATACATAATATTAATCTTAAGGCAGGTGGAGATTTAGCATTTGGTGTAGAACTGACCTATCCTGTATAACTAAAGTGGCTCATACACGTTTGTATGTAACGTACCTTCCCGTCAAATAGCTGCGTTTTTTTTCTGCAATTGTCAATGCATGGCATTCCAGAAACGACCAGAGAGCCATGGACCTTGCCTTTAAATATGCACGTACTTCCCAGGATAGGGGAGATTTGAGATCGTCATAGGCAACGCTCTCAAACCCAGTAAAATGGAAAAATGCTGCCTTGAGGATGGTGTCTCCCATGGCGACGATCATCCCTAATATAAAAGGAGCTTTGGCTTTTGCGAAATAACCATAAATTCATGATTCGATAAACCGAAGCTCGATTTAAAATTATACTTTGATATGATCATTAGATACATGTTTCGTTACAATGGTACCATATTCAGTAATTTTTGAACAAATTCGTTGCTGGTTTTTCGATTCGGAAATTAAAAAAAAAACAACAACAATTTACGATTAAATTCAATTTTACATTTTTATTTCTATGTTAAACACTTTGTCAGCGGATTCATCGGATCGTCATCGGCGCATTCGAACACCCGCTGAAATTCCTGCATATTCATGAAACTTCGATTGATTACAATGCTATAGAGGTCATCATTACGTTGGCATAATTGTTGAGCTACCGCATAGTACATTATGCGCGATGAGTCCAAATGGAAGTATTCAAAAATAAAATCTTCGGCCATGGCGAAATTTTCACTCTCTAGCCAAAAGTTATAGTCGGCCATCGATTCCATAAAGGATGTATAGAAATTGTATATATCTGTGACATGTTCAGCCTTTAGACCCTCAAAGAGTTTGCCATAGTCGTCGACGTGCAGAAGACTTTGTCGGTCCAAGCAATCCATGGCCGTCAATAAACCATCTGAACTGTGAAGCAATTTCGAATTCTTCCACATTTCCCGGTCGTAGGTGGCGAAGTAGTGCAGTCGTGGCCGAAACAATAAAAGAATGCAGAAGTTAATGAATTCTTGGAAAAAGTTCATATCCTCCAGGTCCACATAGGAATTATAGAAAGAATGGCGAATCGTTAGCCGTCTAATTTCCAAAAGATTTGTATAGAATTTCGGTTTATGGGATTTGTTAGCTAAGTCCATTGTATCATATATGGCGGAATATTTCTCCTCCTTTTGAAGTTCTTTGGCGTAATTGCGTATGGATCTCTCGATGTTAAGATCTTTTCGCTGTGAACGATTTTGTAATAAGCGATCCACCGATGAACTGGTAATGCCATTGCGATAATACCGTTGAAAACGTGTGGTGTGAAAGAGAAATGTTGCGATGGCAACTTCACGTCGAAAATGATCTTCAAAGGCGGACCACTGCCAATATTCGGCTTGCAACAAATACTGGAACTCATCTGTCAGCGAAAAACAATCATTCATTGCCAGCAGCTGCTGATACACATGCCAGACAACATAGTTGTAGACAATGCGCGGATTTGTGGCTTTCAATATTGCCATCATTTCACTTAAAATATGGACGTTGACGACGATTTTGCGTGCCTGCTCTATATCCTCACCCGTGAGATTGAGACGTGCGAAGTAACGCTGAAGAAAATCGCTCATGGTTTGATCCAACAGAAAGTCAGTCATTTCCAAAGTTTCTTGGGACAGAGGGATTTCACCTTTCAACTGACGACAGAAGTGCCACAATTCCGTTCCGATAATTGTGGCAATTTGAGCATTTCTTTGCCTCAGCAGGGGCATCAGAGAATGTTCGAATTCGTCCAAACTTGGACAAAGGAAGTCCTTATTGCGTGTAATGTAAATGGTATTTTCGGCAAAGAAGATATTGAAAAATATCTCAAAACCATGGGCAGCAAATTCCGCTGCCAACAGGGGCCAATTCAAGTCCAATTGTCGATCGTATGTCTCCCATTGATATTGTAAAAAGGGCCACTTGCGCAATAGGCTGCGGTCGGTTTCCAATAAGGGAATGTCGTTAATCATATACAGCCAGATGCGACGTGGGCTAACTTTATCAACATGGGCCTCTTTGCACAGATCATATAAATCTCGCACCAAAATTCCCGCTTTAGTACTGAATTTCGATTTATGACCTTCGAAAAATTCATAATAATCCTGATGATTGTAGAGAAACGGTGGAATATGTTGACGCTGGTTGTTTTCCTCAGATCCATTATCTTTTTCAGTCGTCACGTTAAAGTCCATTTTGCCACAGGCATGGAGGAAGAAATTGTCACATGGATCAGTACTTATATCTATCGCTTCGACCATATTCTGCAAATAGTCCCGATATATTATTGTAATATTGGCCGCACTTGCACTCGTTTCAATTGTGTTCCTTAGCAGGACTACCCACAGGCAAAATGATACCCCGAAACTCAACATCGTAGAACTCGATTTTACAAAACAAAGGTATGTTTACGTTAAGAAATGCCGCGAAATACTACCACGACAATCATCTTCCATACGAAACGAATGCGAATTTGCAAAATTCCCATGGAACGGCGATAAGCATTAGATGTTGATAAGACCCAGATTCGACATCAACAAAATTGACCTTCAACAAAACGTAATAATTAGTATAGAAAATTATTTTATTTTTGCAATATTTGCAAATTGCTTGCCAGCTCTAAACGTAATCTGGCATTCGAATACAAATTTATAGGAAATATTAACTATGGAAATGTGAATATGAATAAGACCCATTGGTCGATGACCTCATCTGCAGAAAGCTACAAATGAAATGCATTTTCTATGTCAAATGGATGGAACTTATTTGTAATAGATAATAAAATTTAAAACTATTGGTCGAACTAATTATGCAGAGGCTGATGTGCTATCTTATATAGATAGATAAGTCGATTCTTGCTTCCCTTAGAAATTTGACCACGATGTTTAGGCCCTCTAAGCCTCGTTCGAACGTAGTCTTTCACCCCACAATCATCACATACGTTTTTAAATAATAATAAGAAATTGTTTTACCAAAATTATGGACGTTTTGTGGCTACAGTTCGCAAATTGCCATCAGTTTTGACTCCAAATAATGTTCTAAAAAATAATGCTCAGCTGTAAAGAGATTAATAGATATATTTGCCGTAACTGGGTCTGTTAGATATATAATGACAACAACGTACAAATATCGCAGCTGTATGTGATGATGACACTCGAATTCCATCCACATCAATTCGACACCGAGCTAAACAAATTTGACTCTTCAAATTCACTCTGCAGCGAATTTTGACGGAGGATTTGCATCTTCATGATTATAAAGTTCAATTGACTCCGCCAGCTGAATTGGGAAGAATTGTTGCATTTGTGGTGAAGAACATCTTCGAGAGATTCACGAGATAATTAATAATTGAATGATAATGAATAATTGAACCTTTTTATAAAAATGAGGCAGGTCATGTGCAAACAGTCAATGGTGTTCGGTGACGTGAAATGATAACCACTTTTTTGCCTAGAATTCAAGAAATTAATGTGGAGGGTATGTGGTTTCAACAAGACGGCGGTTTGAATATATAGCCAGAGAAATAATTCAATTTCTGCATTAGTCATTTCTCGATTGTGTTATTTCGAGTTTTGTCGTGCGATCTAACACCTTTAGATTTTATCTTTGTGGGGTTTTTGAAGTCAATGGTTTATGTAAATAAGCCGACGACGGCTCATGCCTTCATATAGGACATTAGACGATGCATTAATGAAATACCGCAGCATTTATACAAAAATATTTTTTGTGCATCATTCAAATGAAATCTGAACAGATTCTCAGCAATTTCGATAGGATTTTCATTCTTCTCAAATTTTAGCTCAACTGGATAATGAACGCATTCACAAAAGTCGGACGGGGCCTATATGATACCCTTTACCCCATTGGCTATATTCAAGAGAAGCATCCTAATAGACCTACAATTTTTGAAGGACCATTGACATGAAATTAGACTAAATAAAATATGTGATCTGCGTCTATATGTGAACCGACTTAACCTTACGATCAATAAATAGGTACATTTGTACCTATATCGTTCCATGTTTAGGCATAGCCCCCACATATGGGGGCTCTGATTTCAATATAACATACGCAAAATTGTATGAGAGCTATATCTCAATCTGAACCGATTTCAATAAAACTTGGCTATCCTAACTTCCGAACGTTTTGCAAAATTTTGTGCCAATCGACCTCAATATGACTCTTTGGTGCACCATTTGTTAAAAATCAGACGAACATATATATGGATATCTAAATCTGAACCGATTTTCATCAATTTCAATAGGGTTCGTCCTTGAGGCAAATGAATGATCTGTGCAAATTTTCATCTTATTCGGATAATAAATGCGACCTGGACTTTGTTTACAATTTAACATGGACTCAGAAAGTGATTTTCTGCTGTTACAAACATATGATCATGCAGGCATCATAGAAATACTCATTTAAAAAAATTGATTTCCAATTTTTCGTTATTCAATTTCCCAAAAGTTTCTCTATGTGATTTAGGCTAGGTGATTGAGCAGACCAATCAATCCAACACAATTTTTTATTGCATATCATTTGTTTTACCACCTTAGACGCGTGCTTGGGTCATTGTCTTGTTGAAACACCAATGAAAGAGGCATTTCCCATGATGACCTTATAATTCCAGTGATTTTGTGAATCGGATCAATTCCTTGTTCGGAAAAACATCCCCATACCATAATGTTGCCTCCACAATGTCTTAAGAACCTTTTGTATATCTTGGGTTGAGACTTTCGCCTTTTGGCACACGCACCAGACACCTGAATCCGAACTGTGTAAATTAAATTTGATTCAACAGAAAAGATGATGGGTATTATATGAGGGAATTCTATGACACGGACTACTGTTGATTTATTGACATTATATTTTTCAGATTTTTATTTTTAATCGTCGATTATTTGTTTCTTAATGAGCTCATTATACTTATTGCCACCCATTTTATCGACTTTTTTCAGAAATATAGCACTTGGGCCCACACCGATAAGTTTATTACGAAATTATGCAACCAACTCAATAAAATGACTTTTTTTATTTTATTAACGTCAATAGGGTCTATTTTTAGCCGATCTTCTTTTTATAGTTATACAACTTTCGAAATATTACCATAGACAAGGAAAAAGAGAAAGTGTATTAAGTAGTTGCAAATGTTTTGAGCATATTCCTGGACAAATAACAACAACATATTGAAATATATTATTTTTTCCAAGTTTAATTTAGAAGGATGGCTTATTAAAGATTGTTTTTAAACATAAGTGAAAATTATAAAACCATATAAATCTTAATTTCGCCTCATTTTATTGCATTGCAGTTCTAATTGCAAATGTTTTGAGCAGCACTGTATATAGATATAGTGAATATTAAAACCTGTGTGTAATTCAGTAGACCTGCGCACACCATAGGATGAGGGTACTTAAAACGTTTGGTACATAAAATGCGATTTATAAATTTAGTTTTTTCAAAATAGTCAGGCAGAATCCCAGTTTGTTGTTTTTATAAACAAACTTGCGGGCCCGGCAAACGTTGTCTTGCCTAGCAATATTGTTTATGTCTAATTTTCGGAATTTTAGGTTTTTTTATATGCTCCAACATACATTTCTACTACTTATAAGATATTTGATATTGAAAATGTTCAACAGAATTGCTTCTAATTTAATATTAGGGATACCTATTGAGCAGAAAATTTCCCTAATTAATAATATCAAATATTCGGATAGCTCCCATATAACGGTACCCCTTAATATTCGGTATTTGGGTGTAATTTTATATTCGTCCATGCTTCCAAATATCCCCCCCATATTTTGAGGCTGTGGGGGATTTGGACATAATAGAAATACTCATTTAAAAAAATTTGATTTCCAATTTTTCGTTATTCAATTTCCCAAAAGTTTCTCTATGTGATTTAGGCTAGGTGATTGAGCAGACCAATCAATCCAACACAATTTTTTATTGCATATCATTTGTTTTACCACCTTAGACGCGTGCTTGGGTCATTGTCTTGTTGAAACACCAATGAAAGAGGCATTTCCCATGATGACCTTATAATTCCAGTGATTTTGTGAATCGGATCAATTCCTTGTTCGGAAAAACATCCCCATACCATAATGTTGCCTCCACAATGTCTTAAGAACCTTTTGTATATCTTGGGTTGAGACTTTCGCCTTTTGGCACACGCACCAGACACCTGAATCCGAACTGTGTAAATTAAATTTGATTCAACAGAAAAGATGATGGGTATTATATGAGGGAATTCTATGACACGGACTACTGTTGATTTATTGACATTATATTTTTCAGATTTTTATTTTTAATCGTCGATTATTTGTTTCTTAATGAGCTCATTATACTTATTGCCACCCATTTTATCAACTTTTTTCAGAAATATAGCACTTGGGCCCACACCGATAAGTTTATTACGAAATTATGCAACCAACTCAATAAAATGACTTTTTTTATTTAATTAACGTCAATAGGGTCTATTTTTAGCCGATCTTCTTTTTATAGTTATACAACTTTCGAAATATTACCATAGACAAGGAAAAAGAGAAAGTGTATTAAGTAGTTGCAAATGTTTTGAGCAGACCAAAACATGTTTTTTATATTCCTGGGCAAATAACAACAACATATTGAAATATATTATTTTTTCCTAGTTTAATTTAGAAGGATGGCTTATTAAAGATTGTTTTTAAATATAAGTGAAAATTATAAAACCATATAAATCTTAATTTCGCCTAATTTTATTGCAGTGCAGTTCTAGTTGCAAATGTTTTGAGCAGCACTGTATGTAGATATAGTGAATATTAAAACCTGTGTGTAATTCAGTAGACCTACGCACACCATAGGATGAGGGTACTTAAAACGTTTGGTAAATAAAATGCGATTTATAAATCTGACAAAACGTTTTCGATATAACATTTCCTTTCGTCAGATCGCATTACATACGGTTCATTTGGGGTGTCATTTGTATTTTGTTTTTTTCAAAATAGTCAGGCTGAATCCCAGTTTGTTGTTTTTATAAACAAACTAGCGGGCCCGGCAAACGTTGACTTGCCTAGCAATATTGTTTATGCCTAATTTTCGGAATTTTGATTTTTTTTATACGCTCCAACATACATTTCTACTACTTATAAGATATTTGAAAATGTTCAACAGAATTGCTTCTAAATTAATATTAGGGATACTTATTGAGCAGAAAATTTCCCTAATTAATAATATCAAATATTCGGATAGCTACCCATATAGCGGTACCCCTTAATATTTGATATTTGGGTGTAATTTTATATTCGTCCATGCTTCCAAATATCCCCGCCATATTTTGAGGCTGTGGGGCATTTGGACACGTTTTTAAATCTAATCGGCTGTAATTTGGCATTTG